TATATATATAGTGAAGATAATGGAGACAAATTATTATTAATGATTTTTAAATTTACCATGAAATGGAATAAATTAATTTTTATAGAAATTTACATTTTAACTCTAAGCTGAAACAACAAATGAAAAAAAAATCAAAACACTTTCTGTATTGCCACTATCGATAAAACAAGATATAATTTTGCTATTACTTGAAAACTTTTTTGCAAACATCTTCCTTCCGATGAACTAAATAGCAGATTACATACAGAAACCTTAAAACCAATCTAGATATTATCATTAAAAAAATTAACGTTTTCTGTAAAATAACTAAAATTAAACGAAATAATGTAAACCTTTTCTTTTTGCTTATCCAAAATTCCATAGAAACGCAACTAAGTTTCTTGCTGATGGCGTAGAAAGTAACGAGGAAAAAAAATTGACATTTACTCTAAAAATATTTCTAAATGTGCATTCGATAAAATTAGAAAACATACTAAATATAATAATCACCCGAATTGGATTATCAGCAATAGTACACAAGTCCTTAAAACATTAATATCTTTAAATAAAATTGATTCTGTTAACTGTTTTGATTTCGAAAAATTATATGCCTCCCTTATACCTAACTTATACTTTCTTAAAATTCTCAGCCTACTTAACCTCAATGGTATCATTAATGAAAAAAATGGAAATTTCTCGTTCATATTAACATAAATAGACAATTTTATTTTTAATGACAAACAAATTACGGTATCTCTATAAGCAACAAATTTAGTACTTATGTTAGTAATATTTTTCCTTTTCTCTCTGTTAAATCATTTGATAATCTTAATATTTCTACAAATTTCGCATTTCTCAGGTTTATCTTATCTAATGATGTTAACTAATGCTATATAATGTTATATAATGATGACCTTTTGGTGATTAATTTTGATGATTTTGAAATTTTAACTAAACAAAGTCATTCAAATGAATAATTTTTTAACAAAACTAATATTTTAACTCTTTCAGCAAATTGTGATATCATAAGAATTTTCAGCCACTAGACAGTATAAGTTTGGATGCATGACCTTTTATTTTTGATCAATTAATTTATTAAGTAAAATTCTAATATAATAGTCTTTATAAAATAATTTTCACTTTTGATTTTAGTTGCTTTGTGTAATAAACAGTATTTTTATTTTAGTAAATATGAATAAGGGCTCTGGACTATATACAGTCGTAACTATATACAGTCCCCTGGTCTATATACAGCCCCCTGAATGCTTTGTAATTATGAAAGAATGTATAAATGAAGGCTAAAGTGTATACGCACCCCAGGTAGCAAAAAGATATTATCTAATATTCGAAAGATCCAATATAACACTGTCGTGCTAGAAAACGCAAGACTCCAGAATCCTATCTATTAATATAAGAGCTAATATTATATAACATTAAATAGTATTCAATCTAACATTCGAACCTCTAAAATTATCATCTATTTCATTATTTTTGGTCTAGCGCCACTCTTTTGTAAAAGGCTATCCCATATTATTAATAAATTAAAATTCATTTATGAAAGAAAACAATAAATTAAATATTACTTAAAATATCATTTTTAGCAAATGCAATTTTATGCCAGAAAACGCAAATTAATATTAGGGGAAATAAATTCTGTTCGCGAACGATACAACTCGAAACATTTCATCAACTGTTGAGTTGTAACGTCTTCATGATTGTTTACAACGCCATATTGTTTTCAGTCGTCCGTCAACTATTCAATCGTTTCAACCTCTTAAGGTATTTATAATTTAGTAATTTTTAGTAAACTTTATAAATTTTGCTAATGTAATTACGTAATTATGTAATTACGTTAAAGTATCATTGTATTTTAATGAATGAAACATTAAAATATTATAGTAGGTTGCGTTTTATCTTTAGTTAAAAATCAACTAGAAAAGTAATATTAACCGCGATGTTTCAAAGGAGTTGAACTACGTTCAATGTATTACTTAATAATCTTAATCGCTTAATCAAAACTTTTAAGAATTAATTTAGCGATCATACATCTAATAAAGTAAATAGTGTGAATTATGATCATTATTTACTATGAGTAGTTCTAGCGTATATTTGACTTCTCTGTTAAAATGTATTGTCTAACTATAAACTGTAATTAGTTCAGAATATACTTGCAAAACAACATTTACTTAGCTGTTTGTCTGTGACAGAAAACTTCTGCAACAATTAAAAATATTAAAAATTATTGTCTGTTAACAAATTTGCCTTGATTAAACATTTGAAAATTAATAATCTGCCACTTTTAGCTCAGTTAAAACCTATAGATTGTAGAACGTTTAAAGTTTAATACAAGCACCGAATTAAATTTTCATGTTTAAAATATTGTACAACAATGAATTAAACATATTTATTTAAATTTCTTGAATATAAACTGATGTGCATGTTTCTGATACATCATTATTTACATAAATTTGTAAATAATTAAAAATAAGCAATATTATGATCTATTTGAAATGGTGTTTGTGGGGAATGAAGAGGAATAGAGGATAGTCGGTACAATTTTTATTTAGGACGTTTAAAAAAAATTTGAAAATTTCCTTTTGGCTTCATGTAAGTTTGTACAATGTATTAAAATTAAAAGCTTTGAATTTGATATATTTTTGTATCAGAATATGCCTGAATGTTCATTTCAACTAAAATGTTGACCTGAATTAAATAATAAAAATTATAAATATGTGACAAAATTTAGTTAAGCATACTGACTTTTAAAGAACGTTATGTAAAAATATTTTTTTTTTGGGGTGGGGGAGCAAAATACATTTAATTTTTCTAATTTTGGAATAGGTGAATTATTAAAGAATTCATTTTCTACATAATTTTTTCAACCTTGAATTAATGGATTCTCAGTTTCCAGAGTATCTCTTAATATTGACGTACTTGAACATCAAATGATTTTTTCAAAAAGCAATGAAAGAAAATAAGCAGTTGTAACACTTTTCGCCACTTGTTGACTTGTCGCATCGGGAGTTTCGGATCTAATAAAAGGGGTTAAAAGGTTTTGCACTTTGAAATTTTTCTTTAAAAAATATGTGATAGTTTGCCTGGGAGTGTTTATGAGCTAAACTCTTTTAGTTAATCTGTTTAATTTTTCTTCTCTTTTTTTTGCTTCTTCTGTTACAATTAGATATCGATACCTGAATTTACCGATTGAATTTCATTGTAAAGGGTATTCAAATTTTCTAAAAACATTTCAAAATTCAATAATTTAAGTTTTAAATAGATATTCAATGTTTAAAAGTTTTGAATTTGGTTTCTTTCATTGTAAAGTTTGATTTATTTTCTTTTATAATTTCAGCTGTAGCTCTTCATTTTCAAGAAAATATACTCTGAAGAAAGTGTTCGTTTTCGAATTCAGGAACTCAGAGCCGATTTGATTTAAAGAAGCTCTGCTAGCTACTGTGCAAATGAAAATCGCACACTTTGATGGAAACTTGGGAGTTCTAAGTTTGATCCTTACAGCAAATGAAGCAACCAGTGTAGATATTCAGCAAGGTCCAATTTAAATATACCATGGTGGAAAGTCCTCATGTTGATTTTGGTGTTGAAGAAAGACAGTAACCTGTGAGATTCATCCCTGTTTTGTGTGGTACACACATTATTAACTGCAACCGAACGTTTCATGAAAATTTTATAAAAGGATTTAATGGCTGTTTGGAAAAATAATTTTAAGACTGTATCAAATAGTCCGAAAGTCATGAAGAAAAATTATTTTATTTAATAACAATTATGAATTTTTAACTTATGCTTCACCAAACGGGTATCAACGTTAATTTTAAATAAATAAATGTATTACATTTAGAATTGGATAAAGTTTATTTTATAGTGTGTTTTATTTTTAAATAATATTATTATGCTGTGAACTTGTAATGTTGATCATAGACTTCTTTTCCGAAATTACTGTAGTGAGTATCTCTTCCATAACCTTGTAATAAATCTTCTAAATTTAAAAAAATGTGATTTGTCAGGTATGATATTTGCATTGATGAAATTTTATAAAATGTAACATTAGAAAATCTTTATAGTAGATAGTGCTTAAGTGTCATGAACAAAGTTGAATATATTTAAAATTTGGTTATCTTTGATCTTTCAGTATGATATCGGAAGCAATTTTCTTTTAAAGTTTTTAAAGTCTCCCTCAAACTTGAGAGTATTTTTACTGTCAACAATGTGCTTATTATTTTAATTTTGGAAATTTTTATATGATTATTCATTTGAAATTTGAGACAAAAAGTGCATGCGTTTTTTATTTTTATTATATTTGAAATAATATAATTGTAAAATAATTATAATCGTAAAAAGTTCTTTAACTTAAATCTGAATAACATTGACATTACGATAGAAATTCCCCACCAATGTAGAAAGGATATTGCTTAAACTTTCATCTAAAAGGTCTTGTGAAAACATGTGCGATTTCATCTCTTTTTTTAAAAATAGTTCCAATTAAGACGTTTACCTATAGTGTCATGTTTGTTCTTACTATATTCGAAATGCATAATCTCCTATCAGCGAAAATATAATTAATTAAGGCTTCACTTGTTTCTCTCCCTGAAAATACATCTACAGGTGTCTTTGGATTTTGTTTCAAGTATTTTGTAAGTATAAATTCAGAGTCTAAAAAAATAAAGTTACGTAAGTATTTTTCTATTTAATTTCAGTGAAAAAGAAGTAAAACATTTTTTGCAAGTAAGTAATTTGAAGATTTATAAATTGTTTTTATTCTCTCAAGTATATAAATAAATAACAATTTAGAAAATTTGAAATATAATTGCATTTTACTATTTTTGAAAATGAATAACATAGTTATATCTTAAAAGAAAAAAAATAAGGTAAATTTTCAACTATATTCAAATGTAAATTTAACTTTGCAATTATGTAGTCTATGCAGTATTTTTTATTATATAATTTTAAAATACAATTAATGAATGTTAATTGCTAAGTTAGAAATAGTTTAAGCTACAACTTTTAAAAAATATGTTTTACAAACTGGCAAATTCAATTGAGATTTCGTAAAAATAATCTCATTTCTAAAAAAAGTAAGAATATGATTTAAAATTAAAGACTTTATGATGTAAATTTCGTCAGAAAACCCTTTGTATGAAGTGAAGAAAAAAATATCAATAACAGTTGTGATATTGTATTATTTCTTTAATAAATTTGAAATATTCAGTAAAAAAAGAGCTGAACATGCGTCAGCTGAACATGTTTTGTTAACTTTTACACTTGTCTATTCAATTGTAACGCAATTTTTATTTTTATTTTGTTTTATGCTGCAAGCTTGTTTTTGCGTCTTTTCTTTCTTATTACGGTATTTTATATTTTTTTTTCGAGACATCAACTCATTATAAAGAGTAATTTTTATCTTAAAATAAATTATTCTTTATTTGGAAATGTATATGTCGTAAAGGTATGCCTCCTGATGACAGTCTTTCCGTTCTTCTATCAAGTTTTTATTGTAATTCTAAATCTATTTTCTTAATGTAAATTCGAACTTAATTATCAAAATGTGACGCTGCTGACTACAAAAACTGTTGCATGGCTGTCCATTGCAACTAAAATATTTCCATCGATTGTTTTTTTTTATAAACTGCATGGCATTTTTGCTGCAAAAGATAATATCGCACCCCGGCAAGAAAAGTGACACAAGTCAAAAAGCAGCAATTTTAAGTTTATGTCAATAAAAAATATGTATGAAGTGCCCCATCAAGCTCAAAAAGTGTCACATCTTTAGCTCGCAATTTATCCAGCTGAGGGCAGTTATGACAGTTTTGTGTAGAATTCAGAATAAGGGTTATAGTATTCTTTAAGTTGATTTTCCTCAAATGGTAAATTTTAGGATTATGGCACTTTTCTTGCCGGGGTGTGATATATATTTAAATTTTTTTTTAAATTATCTGAGTAATCCGTTGATGATATGAGTAAAAAAGTGAATCTTTGTAAATGAAAATCATCCAGTTTCTCATATAGATCACAGAAAATTTTAGAAGTCTCTATCATTCTGTAATTCAAAGCATCAATACATATTTGTATTGATTTTAATAATATTCGCATATTTTCAAAATAGCCAGGAGAAATGAACGCACTAATTCTGCACTAAGATAAAAAAAAAATATGCACTGAACTACCAGAATGTAGCAACATTTCACGTGTTTCTAACTCTAGGGAAGCACCATAAAGCTTAGTAATAGTTAATAAATATTAGTAAAATATATAATAATAAATATAGTTGAAACTACCAAAAATTTGATAAAATTTACCTGGTTCTATGGAAATACTAAAAAGGTCAGTAGTTTTTACCGAAGCGGTTTGGTAATGGTTCTGATAAATCTAAAAATAAATTATGGTTTTATAATATTTGTTAAAATTTAGAAAATGTGGTAAAATTTGCCAATTTTTTCATGCTATCCTAGAGCATAACGTAAATAAATAATTTATGCCGTTAAATTTCCTTTTCAGTTTGGTATTTTTAACTAAATGCGTGATAATGAGAATCAAATGAGTGGTATAAATATTGCTTATTTTGCTTGCATTAACTAGAATTATGTTGTTGTTTCTTTTCACCAGAAATGTCATTACCATGCATAATGGTAATTTTAACAGAATTATTTGTGCATGTGTTTTGTGTATTGTAATTATACATAGAAACAAAACTAGTAAGCTGAGAAATAGAATATGTTTTATGAATTTATCGTAGCAAAATTATCGTAAATAACGTTAGATTATTTCAACAATTTTATTTCACATAATTTTAAAAAATAATTTGGTATTTACTCAGAAAATATACTTTTTTAACAACAAAAGCATATCATTTCACAGATCCAAAAATAAGATTTCATATTCTTTTAAGGTACGGGCATTGTAGGATAGAATTTCAAAGAGGTAAAAGCTTTTATATGAAAAAAATAAAGATACTACCTTTTTAGAGAACACCATTTACTATTAAAATTTTATGAAATTTCTTATTTTTTCTTTTCAAATGCATGTTTTGACATTAATTTTAAGTTTTAAATCGAATATGGAGGGTGATTTTATTCTTAAATTAGTTAAATTATATAATTAGTAAAATATTATAACTGCCGAATCATTGCTTGCCTTCCCTACTTGTGCATATTGAATTATAATATTGAATTTATGCAAAATTCAGCCTGCACAAATAGTATTATTTCTACTTGTGCATATTGAATTTTAAGGATTCATTTCTTTAAGGTGAATTCATGATTTTATTTCTTAACCCTTAGACGCAGAAGTTTTATGAAACATATTTTTCAGACTTTTTTTCCTATTATTTCATATTAATTTAGGACAAAATAAGTAAAAAATTTGCTATTTAGCTTTTTAATAATTTATGATACGAAATATGGCATGAAACAGCTGTGTCTTTTTCTGCTTTAGAGATAAAATCTTTCAAATGCGGTTCACTTGCAATCAATAAATGTTCAAATTTGCGCTTATTTGCTATTATTTAGATCTAGCAGAAACAGTTATTCATTATATAACTTCCTTAATTTACAAAATCAATGATTGATAAATTTTTGAATATAAATAAAAACAATTCAAATTCATTTATTTTATATTTTAGTATAAATATAATTCTGATAATTTAACACATTTTTTTCGCAATTATTATACTGTTTTTTTATAATTAAAAAATACCAAAATATTTTTTTTCACTTGTTATAAGAACATCAAAAAAAAAATTTAAAAGGGGGACTACAGGTTCATCAGCAGCAAAGTGTTAAAATATTACAATTTCAGAATAATTTCTTAAAATTTTATAATTCACGACTCATATCTTAAAATTTTATAATTCACGACTCATTTTTTTAAATCGATACTATTCATTATCATTCTTACTATTCATTCATATTACTATTCATTTCTTGTTATAATACGTGGTATATAAAAAGAACAATTACCTTAAAAGTACAGAAGCAACAAACTACCAGGTGTAGAGTATATTACGTATATGATAATTAATGTAACAAACAAGAATTGCTAAAATGTATTTCGTTATTGTATTTTGAAAGAAAAATTCCTTTCACTTGTGAAATCCTTTGTGACTAAAAGTTTGGCACCAAATATTGCATTATGTTTTTATTTTCGTGACTACAGATCATCACGAGTACTTTTATGCTGAATTACGCATCTGCTGATCAGCAAACTTAAATAATAGGTTTTCCGATTGCTTTTTATTTCCTTTATCATGTCCATGAGTAGGCCGTTTTACATCTAGCTAAAATCAACCGTACACTTTCCTTACACAGTGGTACAAGTGAAAAAATAACCAGAAAAATTTGGAAGTATTTCAAACCGTAAAACTAAATTGTGATATTCCGATCAGCGTAATTTTATCATTTATTTTAAATTGAAAACATGGCTTAAAATTTAATTCATGTGTGTTTTTTTAACAATCAGTTTACAAAATGTTGCTTGCATGTTTTGGAACAAATACTTTAGAGCATCAAACTGCTTTTCAGTTTTATAATGCGCAATTTAAAAATAATTATAAAATAATTTATAATTTGAATTGAGCTTAAAAAATTGCTGTTTACACTGTAAAAATTCCGGATTAAATTATGACATAAATTACCAGCACTTTGGGTGCATCAACCGTAAAATGCACTCTTACCGTAAAAAATTATAATAATTCAACAGTACTTTTGCCGATATATTTATTATTGTCATAGTTTAAGTCATTTTTATAATAATTTAACATAATTTTTACAGTAATAATTATTTAATTATTTCAGCGATTTTACCGTAATAATCACTGTAAAAATTACGTATTCAAAAAATTAGAACTTTTTACCGTAAAATCCCTTTTTACAGAACATTATATGGGACAAAATATCTGATTTACCGTTATTTTTACAATAATAATTACTGTAAAATCACCGAATCCCCCTAATTAAACAAATATTAGCGTAGAAATTATGGCATATCAGAAATTTTGTTCCATATAATGTTCCACTAAAAATGGATTTTACGGTAAAAAGTCCTGAGTGCCGGTACTTTTTGCCGGAATTTTTTTAGTGTATTAGCAAGTTCAAAATAATGTAACTTTAATAAACTAATAAAAGCACAATTTAAAATTTTAGAAAACTATTTAAATGAAAGTATCTTGTAAAAATCGAATTGGAAATTTCGAACGAGAAATTAAACATCTATCGAATGAACCGAACGAATTAAAAAAAATTCGGTTCGTTAGGGGTTTGATAATCTGGGATTAAAATTTCCTCCTTAAAGCACTATCACAATTTCAGAACCCTGCAACAATTGGTTCATGAATTATAAGAAAGATACACACGCATGCACAAACTCTTATTATTATTATTATTATTATTATTATTATAGACTAGCTAAATACTATTCCTTCGTATGGAAGGAAAAAAGCTAATCAAATAATCGGAATAGATCAATTCCTTGAAACACTGTACAAAACTGAAAGACACCAATACAATTACTAATGATTAAAAAATTCCAATTATTTCATATAATACTATTTGTTCTCCTTCGGTGGCTTTATGTTATAAGGTGAAGTCTGTCACGTGATATCGTAAAGTGCTTAACTTCGCTCGCAGTTCGTCGGACTACCAAAGCAAGGGTGCAATCCCCTCTGCAGAGGATCAAACTTGTAATGGCATGTCTTCGGATCGTTCTCAAGAACGTTTCCCAGACCGTTGCTCAAGGGCGAATGTTTCCCAGACCGTGTACGATGCAAATTAACTACTACTAGTACTACCTCTCAATGAAAAGAGAAAATACACAATTATTTGTTTTTTTTTAACGGTGACAAATATTTGTTTTTTTTAATTATTGAGCATGGAATATAGCAAAATATGCTTTTTACTTGAGTTACGTTAAAAGAATCATAATAATCAATATTAGAAAACCAAATGTATCCTAATGTAAACCAAACGTAGTATGGTTAGTTACACACTTTTTAAATACTTGAACAACAATATTAGAAAAATTTAGAGATTGTTGAACGATATTTTCGAAATAATTGTTAAACTTTTTGGAGTTAATTGAACCAGACTTGTACAACAATATTAGAAATGTCTTAGCTCATTGAACCATACTTTCATTGTTAGAAATTTTGAAGCTCGTTTAACCATACTTTTGAAATAAATTCTCTTTTTTGATTTATTTTAGTTAACATACTAAACTAAATTATTCGAACTATACCTTATACAGTGAGCAAAAAGAAAAAAATATGCTAACACGTCGCACTTTTGAAAGAAGTTTTACTGTAGTAGAAAATCAAAGAAGATTTATGCTGATCTCCATTTTTTTAAAAGTAAAGCAATTTATTTCACTCAGTTTTGACGGATATTGGTTGTACATTTCCTTCTAGTGCCACAATACCGACCAACTACTAACATCCTTAATTTCGGCTTAACTGAAGAATTAATAATTTCTCAGGGTGTGTTAGCTGGGAGTGCTGCAGTACTCGCTTCACATCAAAAGTTCTTGGCTCTATGACAACCCTTGATTGGGTGGTTAAAGTAATGTGTTCTACTCTGGTGCGAAATGTGCAAGAACTTCGTTTCGGAATTCGTTGAACCATACTTACGAAAAAAATGTACAACATTGTTAGAAATTTTAGAGCTTGTTGAACAATACTTTTGTAATAATTACACAACATTGTTAAACATTTTAGAGTTTGTTGAACCAGACTATTGAAATAATTGTGCAACAATCTTAGAAATTTTGGAGCTTCTTGAACCATATTTTTGAAATAAATGTACAATATTTTAAGATCCTTTGGAGCTCGTTAAATCATACTTTTTGAATAATTACACAATATTAGAAATTTTGGAGCTTGTTGAACCATATTATTGAAATAATGATACAACATTGTAAGAATTTTTAGAGCTCGTGAAATCATACTTTTGCAATAATTACACAATGTTAGAAATTTTGGAGCTTGTTGAACCCCATTTTTGAAGTAATTGTGACACCAACAATAGTTAACTAATTTTGGCAATAGGGACTGATGGTAATTTATTTAATACCAATAGTAGGTACCAAAATACCTACTGTAAGGTAATGCGGAAATATATTTTTATATATTATTATATATATTATATATATATTATGGAAATATATTTTTTCTCGAAAGGAATAAGTACAGAAAAAAATTGCTAGATTGTAATAAATTTCGACTATCATGCATTGACCTAGAGCTACAGAATAATGTTTAATTATACTGAATACAGTTGATCTTCATTTCTGTTGATAGAAAGAACTTTTCAAAATGTGTTTTTCCTAATATAATTACGTAGAGTGCGTACTAACGTAAGTAACGATAACAAACTATTATAAATTTTAAAAATAAATTGATATCTATCTTTAAAATAAATTTTAAAAATAGATTTAGTTTATTAATTAATTTTGTATGTATCTTCTTGTTTTGTGCTCATTGATCAATAAACCGGTATTGTTGATTAATACCGGTTAATCGAATTTTTTCGCCCCGTTCCAGAGAATGAATATTCAACTAGTCTGAAATCTTTTACTGGGTAACGGAAAATTTTTTAACTGCCAACAGCTTGCAACTCAGTAATGAAATTTTTTGTCTCCTGCATTAGTCAAATAATGTAAATATTTTACTAAAAATGCTTAGCACTAAGAAAAATTATAAAAAAAGAAATTATAGATTTCGTTAACCAGCTTTCAATAGTGCTTTGAATTTACCATTAGTTTAAAAAAATATACCTGTTCAAAATTTAAGAGCGAAAATATTAGCTTTGTAAGTAACTCAATTACTTTTTGCTACCTAGTCGGCACCGAAGTTTTGATTCAATTCTGAAGGTATTAAGTTATAATTCAAAAATTTCGTCCACGTCTGAAGAAATGATAGCAATTAAGTGCTATCGCAAGTCGATCAATAAAATCTACAATTTTCAGTCCAACTTTCACAATTTTTGACCCATTCAAGAGACGAAAGATATTAATTCACATTTATAAGATGAATCATATTGTAGCTTTGTCGCTGAAAGATTTAGACTTTTTTGACCCATTTTAGTAAACATACTAAACTGAATTAACCGAATCATATTGATTCGAACATGCGGCACGTTAGTCTTGCATTGCACCGTACTAGTCATTAGTATTTTATACGCGTACTACATTAATCTATTTTCTCGTGAACCTTTTGAAAGTTAAAGTTAGATTGTAAGAATGATTGAACTAAAAGAGACATTTTCATACGTGAGCAAAGAGTGCAAACAGTACACATTTTCTCTTGAAAAAGAAAGGTTTTTATTTTATTGATGAAAAAAATGCACAATTAAGTTTCTATTCAGATTTTGGTTCTTCATCCATTGGTACAAACATATCTAAATCATAGTTCTTAGACATAGCTATTTCACAATCCTGAAATAAAGATTTTTCAAAAATAAAAATACACATGTGCTAATCTGAGTTATTGAACAATGAATTTTTCCAAGTGGTTTATTAATTTTTTTTTTACTGTTGTTGATCATTGAATCATCTTATAGTAATAAAAAGAAGAGTTTGCGCAAATGTGTGTGTGTCTGTCTGCTCCTCTTTAAACTCTACCACCATTTATGTAGGCATCCTCACATTTAAACCATCTGGAAAACAGTGTCATTTTAACTTCCTGAACTTTTGATTTAAATCGTTCAAAAGTTTCAATTACATATTGTTTGGGAGATACGATTGAAAAATAGAATTTTGTAACTGGTTTTCTCAAGTGCTAGTGATATAAATTAAACTTTCGACAATTCCGTTTTTTTTCCTAATATTTTAAGGACAATATCAGTGATGCCTGCAAATTTGTATTATCCTTTACTCTCAAAGAGATTATTTCTCTTTCTTTGATACTTATATATAATAAATATTTTTTTTTAAATTTCAATATCAAATAAACTCAGTGATCAATGTGAACGTTATAGCATAGCTGGGCCAGGTCACCAAAATTGAATTCCTTAAATTATCTCTGTGGTGCTATAATAGGCATTACATATTTCCTAACTTTTAAAATTTCGTCAACTTCTTAAATTCATTTTATTTAAATTTTTTCAATAATTCTTAATCTAATTTTAATTAAATTAAACAAACTATTTAGTTTTTATTACATTCTGTAAAAAGCAAATATAAATATTTTACTCTCTTCTTCTTAACAATCAATGTAACGGCCAACTTTTTTAAATCAATACAAATGTAAAAATCCTTTATTCACTATCGCATTGAATTGAATAAAATCTATTTTTAATTCTTTTTACCTCGTGTAACTTTATTTCTCTTACCACAAAAATGTTTCAGCTACAGGGTTTTAATAATTCTCACAGTCTTTTTGGATATTAAGCTATAGCCCCAATCATTTCAAATTTAATAATAATCACGGGGCTTTGGCTTCTTTTTTGGCTATTTTATCTTTCGATAAATCGCCAACTATTGATCTCGTCCCATGCTCCTAAATATCTGTTGGGAATAATTCAATTACTTTCATTCAATTACTCCTCCGTCCGACCGTTAATGAACTCAACAAAAATCTTCATATAAGAAATATACATCTCTTTTTCTCTATAAGGGAACACTTTTTATTTTGGGCATGATGTATCTAATAATAATATTACTAAAAATAAATCAACAATTCTATTTTTGAAAAAAAAAATTATAAATACTTTAAAATTAATCCCTATGTCGAAAGAAGTGCAATGTTCCAAAAAACATTCTACTTTAACCAAAATCTTCACAAAAATGCAATGAATTTACCTCCATTATACAAACTGGCACCACTACCATCAAATAATTTAAATAAATAAAATGGACCAAACTTCCATCAAAGTCTCATTTTTTTATGTAATTTTGAATTTAAAATGAGTTTCAAAGAAGCGAAATTTAAACTCGATGGTGTTTGAAGCGAAAAGAAATTATGCACTGAAAAACAAAATTAGCGAGGAAATTATATTAACTCGCATAGGAAAAACGTAAAAAATTACCATACCTTTGGATTTAAAATTTTGATAATAGATATTTTGGAAATAAAAAACAAGTTATGCTCCAAAAAGCAGTTATAGTAGAGAAAATGTACTTATTCATTTAGAGAAATCTTAAAAAATCGTATGCTATTATTGACACCAATGATGAATAATTAATTTTGGTAATAGGCACTACTAATATTGTAGTAATTGGTGCAGTTTTTAATAGATACCAAACATTCTAATGTTGGTAAAAAGTAAATATATCAGTATACTGAATACCTATTGAAACTGCGCTAAAGCTGTGAAGTTTGAATATAGATAATGTGGAAATAAGGTTCTTTTAATTCCTCGAGAAGGATGGTTACCAAAAGAAAAACTATTGATTGAGGTAAATTTTGAATATCATGAGTTAGACTTGAGCAACAGCATTATACCTAATTACACTAAATAAACTTTTTATTTGATGGTATGAGCTACTAAAAACGTGTTCTACTTAACTGAATAACGTAAAGTCACTAAGAGTAGAAACAAGTAAATAAAGAGAAATTGAATATAGTAAATAAGAAAAATGGAATTATTTTATCTTGCTTAATTGCATTGGCATATGTCTTTCAGTTTTGTGCTTGATTTCGTAGAGTTGCACTGGACTTATAAATAAGAATTTTTTTTCAACCCGCAAGAAGAATGGGGATTCAAAAAGTTTTAGACGTTACTAAAACTGAAAATTCAATTCCATATATACCATTCAACAATTCAAAAATAAAAATCCATCATGATCAGAGCCTGTTTTGAACTCTGCTAATTTTCGGAAGTGCTATAAATAAAGGTTAAAGCCTGCTAAATAACGATGTGCAATATAGTTGATACAAAAATTAGATCACATTGAACAAAGATTTAATTTTTTATTTATCGCTTTTTCAACGAAAAAGAGAAAACAAAACCACAAATCGTATTAATTGTAGGCGAAAATATTCTAAGCGTTGAAATCGTGAACAAGAAAAAAACTATCGAAACTTAATAATTATATAATAAATATAATTATATAATTAAAATTATACTTAATAATAATTGATTTTTATGGCATTTTATAAAAGACAAACAGTTTATCTACCTAAATGACACAATAGGATTTAGGAACTATATTTTTAAATCAAACAACAATAATCCTTCCTTACAAAAGATTGTATATGTAACTCGGGACAACAAGAAATGCTTAGTCTTTCCTAAATTGAAAAATTTAAAAATCAGCTTTCCTTACCATCACAGACTGTGTTTTTATTTCAAACAAATACTTACCAATGCATCAGTTCTATTAGTCTGAAAGAAAACATTCAATGTAATAAATTATTAAGAATATTTTAATTATTTAAAGAAAAACGATTATTTAAAAATTATATTCTACCAAATAAGAAAATAAGGCTTTCTGTGCTATAAGGATGGATGAGGTTAATGATGTGAGCAATACATTTTGTCCAAGGGCCCATAAAAGTTTTTAATAAGCATGGATATAGATATCTTCTTCCACTGCACTGCAGCTTTCGTTGTCCCAGTATAGGCACATATCATGGGAGTGGGGCTCCGTGCCGGGTAAAACCGGCACGAAGAGTTAGACTATCGAAAAAAAGAACAGAACATGGCTACTTATTGGGCTAAATTCTTATTCTTTGTTAGGATATGAATATTCAGTAAACGTATTTATATGCTGGAATAAGCATTACTGTTATAAAGTAATTTTTATAACTGTAATGACCAATAAACATTTTTATCTTAAAGGCAGGAAAATATTAGAGAATTGACTTAGTAAAACTAACTTATCTACATGGATGTCACAAGTTGATCAACAACACGCCAGTATAGTAGATCCTTCTTCTTGACTAGTAAAGTGTAATTCAGAATTTAACCGCTAACAGAAATAATTTCACTAAAACCAAGATACCAGATTTTACTCCACTTTCTCCCATATATTTAAACATAGAGAATGATTTACTGTGTTACTTGAAAATGATTTGTCTCAAAAAGATATTAATGTCGGTTACAGTTTAGTTATTGTGGGCAGTACAAATACTAATAATGCAAATGTAAACTTAAAAACTAAAACGATTTATATTTTAAGTTGAGCAAACAAGTGCTTAATAAAACCAATTGGAAATTCGTTTAACACTAATTTATTTTTAAAATTGTCAACTTCAAGACTTAAAGCAAAATTTATTGCTGCAAACACTTTTAAATCAGATAATTCGAGTAATAAAATGCATATAAACACTGATATACTGATTTAAGTAAAATAGTTCTGTAGATTGAAATGTCTTTACGTTTGTCGTTGTTGTTTCTAATGCTACTTGTCGATACCAGCAAGCCTGCGTGGTGAAATCCTGTGAATTAAGGCAGAAGGCAAGAATATTTCATGGCCAATAATACGACTGCAGTCACATGCACGTCACGACCTTTTTATAAGGCGGACCCATTCATACATCCATTTTTCCATCCACAGATCATTATTTTGACCTGGACCGGAGAACGATCAATCTCCAATTCAGAACACTCAGTGGTGTGATTTGTTATGAGAACATGGAGGATTTCGTGACCCGACACGTGTATTTAACGTGAAACCAGTCACCATTTACTACGCGGGGAATCTTCGGCCGGTGGGGATTGAACTCACGAACTCTTGAAAAAGGGCCCAACGTTTTACCTACCAGGCTATCCCAGTCCACGTTTGACGTATACAGAGGTAGGGGTTCGTGGCCCATTATTATATGCTGATCCAAAAAACTTACTAAAAAATCATTTTGCAAAAGTTATAAATCTTATCAAATAAGATAAGATATCATCAAATAAGATTTAAAGATATAAATATCATCAAATATCAAAAGTTATCATCAATATAACTGCGAAATAAATATTTAAATTTAAACAATCACATTGTTTACCATGGAATCTTAGGAAAAACTTATTAGTTCAACTAGATTTATTAACTCCAGAAGATTTCTCAGATTTTTGGCTCAACTTAAAATTTAAATTAATTTAATTTTTAGAATTACACTTGCAATATTCAATTTTAATATCTTTTAAATTTCAATTTTGAAAGCATTTCATTATTTTTAAGCATTTTTAAGTGAATAATCACTCATTTATATATTATTATTGCCATTTGTCTAAAAAGTGGTTTTGTCCATTTTATTTTGTAGGTAAAGATAATCTGATATTAAGCTCAGTTAGCTTTACACCTCATAAAGCTAATTAAAAAGCTACATTAAATTACTTTTCAAATTTTTTTAGAATTTATATTAAGCTTTATACACATAATACTTACATTCTGCAATATGTCCTTATTTTCTCCATAACATTCAAATAGCTAAAAATGAGTAAATAAAAATAGTGTTTGAATAATAGAAAGTGCTATTCTATCAATACAAATTGCAAATTATATTCTTGCTTAAGTTTTTATAGACTAAATGTGTAAAATAGGAATGGAGCTAGTAGATATCGAGGAACGATTATATAAAAAATAAATTATTTTTCACTTTGTTTTGACATTGAAAAAAAATTTTATTAAACAGTTTTAATAATTTTAGCAAAAGAAAATAGCTTACTAGTAACAGTTTCAGTAAAATATAAGTTTTAGCAAATATTTTAGTTTAGTTTTAGTAAAAAGACAATTCATTTTCCATTTTCATACCTACCTGAATTCTTGCAGGTTTCAATTTTTTTAAATAGACAACATATATTTTTATTTTGTTTAAATGTTAATTAACAAATGGAACAACATGAAATGAAATAAAACTAGGAGGCTTCGCCCCCTGCTCGCTGGAGCTCGCCAACCCCCAAAACTGCTTTCGCAGTTCATTTCGGATTGCTTTGCAATCCGATGCTCGCTTTGCTCGCTCATTGGATACGTTCTTAACGTCTAGCTTTTGTATACTTTTTTGAACACTGAAGTTCCGAAAACTTTTCACTGTAGAAAATTCTAAACCTGTGCATTTCAATATTAATTTGAAATTGCAAACAGTTCACATATTTTNGTAGGGTGAAAATGTCTAACATTTAATTGGTTCCTAAAAAAGTGTCTTTCCATTGCTTTGATGATATGCTAACTATCACTATAACGACTTTGAAAGAGCACTGAACCACAAACAATTACCATAATTAGTACCATATTTACCATAATTAGTTTCTTGATAGGACGCATTATAAAAAGATTTTAAATTTTTTGCACTTTATGCACGGCTGTGGGATCGGCCGAATACCGACCGATTTTCTTCATTCTAAATATTATGTATCGAAATATATAAAGAGGATCTATTATTTCGTGGGTTACTAAATAATGATTTTGAAATGATTCTTTTGTAAATGTAAAGATAAAATTCGATATTATATTATATTATATTATATTATATTATATATATATACTCGGTTAAGGATCTCGGCATAAAATTTACAGTATTTAATTCTCAGCTCAGATACAGCTGAGAATCGAGTAAGGTAACAAGCTTGACTAATGACAACATTAACTTTTAAACCATCCCGTTATGCAAATCTCATCCCGTAAAGCAAATGATTTTCAATATTAGGTAAAACAATATTGGTAAACTTCAGAAGATGCCGGAAGTTTTATGAAAAATTGTGATTTCAAATTTTCTTAAACATCATCTGATTTCGGAACAAAATAATTTTACAAATAGTGTATCTAAAATGTTGTTAAAATTTCATGCATGGAAGTTTTGTACCGAAAAGGGAAATAAGGATAAATATTTTATCAAAGTTGACTTTTTTTTAAATTCTATCAAAACAAAACAAAAACATTATAATCACTTCTGGAAATTTAGTTGTATGGTCTTTACACGCTTCTTGGAAAAAGGAAAAATCATCTTCCACTCCTGGAATGGTTTTAGTATAACATCGAAGTAAAATATCTTGAATCTAAAAATGAAATGATTTTTAATATCATTTTTTAAAGAAAATGAATAAATGAAAATAATTATTAATTTTCAGGCATCAAATGTTTTTAAATAAATATAAAAAACGCGAAATTCTTTATCATCCATTATTTTCAGAAGCTTTAAGCTGAAAGTAAAATAGTTAATATTATTCAGTTATATATTAATGAAAATATTTGTTTTGAAATGTAGTAAGAAAATTTTTTAATGTAAAAAAATCAATAAAATTAGCAATATCCATCTTTATTAAACTAATTACTCTTTTTCCATTATAGAACTGGTTAAATTATTTTTATCTTTCCTTTTAGTAGGGAAACCAATACTTTATAATTATATTATATATAATTGTTACAAAAACTATATCATTGACGAAAAGCTTTGCAAGCAATCACCCTCTACCACAGCTCTATATTATATTGGCGCAGTTACTGACAACATATATGACAGATACTGGAATGCTGGGGAACAGTTGCAGGCATTGCTAACTGACTGATTTTCTGTTTACATTTCTATTGTTGTTATTCTATTTAATGCTTCTTTGTTCTAACTATTTCTGCATGTCGAATGTTTTTATGTTTTTATTTTTTTAATTTGCTGTTATTTGTTGTTATTCCTTATGGGTCTGTGCGGAGTGTTTTTACACTCCAGCAAATGATGTACACATCAAGTGCTGCTGCTAGTAATAAAAAAATATTATTTTGTAGATATTCAAGATCTCTGTACATTTATGTTTTTGACTGTATACTCACTCATTTCATTTTAGTTTTATTTTATTTATCTATTTGATTATTTTAAAAACAGTTAGAATTTATGAATAAAAAAATAGTGATTTTTCTTAAAAAGAATTTTGTTCTTAATATATTAATCTAGATGTACATATATTCTCTATATCAATAGCACTTTTCTTGAAATTTACTATAAAATCAGGCTTGCAAAGGCTTTTTTTTCAGGCTTTTAAAGTAATTAAAGACTAATGTAAAGTTAGGAATAAATGTTTAATATCAAATTATATTTTTAAGATTTAAATATTATTAAGATTTAAAGAAAACACTTATTCTTTTACTTTATTATATGTATTTACGAAAATATATAAATTTAAATTAATTTTTTCTGATGCAATGCTACAGTTTTCTCGGGAAAAATGAATTCAACCAAATTGTTGTTTTGTCATATTCAACCGAAGGAGTAAAGTAACCATTAAAATATGATATACTAACTGTTAACTGCGAGAAAAATCCTTGACTGTGAGAAAATCTTTACTTTCTAATACGGTAAAACAACGAGAATATTATTTGCCCTAACTAGGCTCATAGCCAATAAGTACCGATTCCTTGTTCTTCGAAAGCTGGAAATAAACCCATGTGATAAGGGATATATGAGAAAATATTCCTGCATAAAATTTATTTTATTGATATTTAATTAAAAAAACTTCGAATTTAATTTCTGATAAAAGGGATAAATTGTTTTCGAGCAGGAATTGAAAACTTAAAAATAGAAAGATAAATATTATCCATAGAATGCCTGTTACGTAGTGCTTAAAAGTATTTTATGTCAAATTAATATTCAAAAGATTTTTTTTAAATAATTGTTCAAGCTAAATATGACTTTGTAGAAGCATGTTTGGGTACTTATGTATTAATATGATAGTGTTTTCAAATCATTGAACTGTGCACAATATAATTACAATTGATTTAATCAATACCTTTTACTATCATTTGAAACATGCTTTCTCTTTAAAGTTTTAGTTTTCATTTTTAACATAACACTTTTAAAACATGTTACAAAAATTACAATAAAAACAAAATAAAGCACTCACATTTTTCGGGTTCAATGAAAAACATTTATTCATGTCTGATCTCATACTTTCACCATGTTCTTCCATTTTCTCTAAAAATATTTAAATAAAATAATTTAATTGTGTCAAACCCACTATGCTAACAAAAGAATACACAAAGCTAACAAAAGAATAAAAATGAAATTATCAATTTTCATTTTTTGTTTTTTTTGATAATTAAAATATACCAATATGTCATTCCCTCACTTGTCCCCACTGCTGATTTTAAAAAAAAATTGTTTCTGAAATAAAAAATTTTTTTTTACAAATTCGTGATTTTATTTCAGAATACTGAAATATAGAATTCAGAAAATCAATTTTAAATTTAATTTTTGATAAAAATATTAACACAGCACTATTTTAAACTTTGTCCCCAGTGTTTCGCGTCATTCCCTCACAACAATGTTCTTATCACCTGCAATCTTCTTAGAATAAAAATATTTTAATAAAAACTTCAGAAGTTAACAACTGGCATCATAGAACAAAATTGCAGTATGTTTCCATCTTCAACTTAAAGAAGCTTTGCTGTGGAATA